ATACCTCATCATCGATGTCAAAACATGTATATTTTATCTTTTAGCTTCGATAACTATCGAACATCGATAAATCATTGGGATATTCAATTATCAAAATTTCAGCAGTATTAATTACCATACTTAAACGTTACAATGGCTGTTCAATTCTTTTGCGTCACTAATATATCCTGTACTATAGACTAATATATCCTGTACTATAAATTATCATTTATAATACATAATATGATGTCATGGATGGTGTGACAGTATAAGGAAATCAAGCCTTTTCATGTTTTAAGAAATATTTTTAACATCAGATTTCGTTGAAGAGTAAAGACACTCAATTAATAACTTCAACACTGAATAAATAATTTTCGATTCTATTTAATACTAGCGACGCGCCCGGCTTCGCCTAGGTGGTGTCTATTAATGTCACGTATGGCATATTTTCGATTTAATATAATCATCAACGACAATTCTTTTTAAAATTTTCGATTTTACATATCTGCAAGCTTTTCGGATGAAATATAACCTGTTAAAATATGAAAATATTTTCACACTCATGTGATTTTTTATCATGTACTAAAGAAAATCTCTCGAAATTTATAATGTAGAGCCATGCTGCAGCTATATTAGTATAATTGTAGCATGAATGGGTCGGCTCGACTGGAGAAGAACTACGCTCTCATAGAATACCAGCGTAAAATATCAGCTTAACACTTCTGTGTTCCGTATGGTGAGTTTAAAGAACCGGAGACCCTTTCTACTAGGAAAGAGGCATTCCATCTTAGTCCTTACGGGTGAAAACGTATCTGCATTTTGATTCGCAAACGAGGATAGATGTAGATGTCTATGGGTCACAGCAACCACTTACCATCAGGTGGACTGTGTGCTCGTTTGTCACCCTATCTTATAAAAAAAGATTTTATTTCGGAAATTTTTAAGACATGGTACAATACTTTAAAAAATCTTCAATTGCTGTAAAATATTTGTGTAGAAAATCAAAAGAAAAGTAAAAGTATTTATACTCACATTTTCCACATATATGATGAATTAAAAAGAATTGTAGCTATTTCTATAACAACATTTTTCTTCTGAATTTCTTTAAATATTAAACAATGTTTTTCAAAGAAATCTTCAGTTATTACGGCAATATTTCTACAGAAAATCATTAAAAAATCCAACGAGTACAATATATCTATTAAACAAACAGAAAGTAATTACAAAAACTTTCATAATTAATAAAACTGTTTACTTTAAACAAACGTTTTAGTAATAAAAAACTTAGTAGGATTAAATTATCAAACAAAGCACAAGAACATACTCGTAACATAATATAATTTATTGTTAGAATAAGAAGAGTTTAAAATTAAAAAAAAATGGTAACATTCACAAACAATATTTATTTTTATTTAAACATATTTAAACATTAAGTTATGTTTATTAAACACTGGCTTTAAGCCGCGACTTCGTTCGTTTAGACTTAAAAAAATGCAGACATTATCATTGGTGTTTTAGCCAATTTTAACTCAGTGTTTATTTAGCTATTATCTAGAAAGTTATGAGCTATAAGAGAAATTATTAATAATAAAAATTTAAGATCTATTAACTTTTGGTTCATCTATTCCGGGCATTAACCCGGACAGACAGTTAGGCCGACAAAAATTTTAAAATAGTTATTCATGTCTTAAATAGCGTGCAAATAAAACCCTGAGCTTAAAGACAGTTATATCGATATTACAGACATAATTTTATTTATATAAGTAAATAACGACTAAATAGGACAGCATTATAGCATTTTACAACAGTCAATCATTTGCATGGAAAAAAGGTAGGTAAAGTAAAAGTCTAAACGTGATAGAGCCATACTGCAGCTATATTAATTGTATAGTTTTCGCATGAATGGGTCGGCTCGACCGGGTAAGAACCACGCTCTCACAGAATACCAGCGTAAAATAGCAGCTTAATGCTGCTTTGTTTCGTATGGTGAGTGTAGAGAACCGGACACCCTTTGTACTGGAAAAGCGGCATTCCATCTTAGTCCTCACGGCTGACAAAGCATCTGCATTTTGGACGACGGCAGATGTAGATGTCTATGGGCTAGCAACTACTTATCATCAGGTGGACTGTGTGCTCGCTTGTCACCCTTATCTTATAAAAAGGTAATGTGGTGATATGGTGGTGTAAGAATATGCAATACCCCATATCATCCTTTGGGTGTTGTTAGATGCAACGGAGGTAAATAAACGAAGCAACGGGTAGCAGCGTCCCCCTACTGACAACTAAATATCAAAAGCTGAGGTTGCTAACCCGCCTTTGGTTGACAGCTATGGAAAATATTTCCCCCTTTATGGAAATCTGTAGGAGATGCCTATATTCAGCAGTGGACTTTTGTTACGCTGTAATGTTGCTGATGGTGATGATACAAATAATTATAGTATCAGGAGAATACCTATAAGCTTCACGTAATATGTATAAACATTATAAAAGGGAAATCTGCTTATGTAAGTAATATATCCGCGGCCGAAATTTTACACGTGTATCATCAAAGCTGTTTTGTAAACATAGAATTTCAATTCCTGTTATTTCTATAAAAAGTTCACAGATATAGAAATATATGCATATAAGAACTTTTAAGACAATGTAACGATAATGTTACAGATAAAGTAGGTAAACAAGAAATGTCCGTTTTGTATTTAAATAAATAAACCACATAAATGTACTTATAATACATATTACATTAATATTATAAAAATTTGCATCCTTAACTTATAATTTTATATTATTTTAATTTCTTTTCCTTGCATAAATACGGGAATCTTAATTTATCAAAGCTAATTGTATCCTTCTGAAAAATATTTTAACTTAAATTAAACGTGCCGTCTTTGCTTGCACTGGGCGGATGTTGAAATTAGGGTTACCATAATTTCTTGGATTTTTAAATATTCCTGATAACAACTAGAAAATAAAGTTGAAAACTCACATGCCAAGCTAGGCAACTACAGCAATAATAAAATCCAAGAACGTAGAAAGTAGTAAAGTTACAGCCTAGGCCTCCTTCCATGTTACCATAATAGCCCTTACGTGCTAGAGACACGGTGCAGCTATATTAGTGGTATAGTTGTAACACGATTGGTTCAGCTCTACCGGAGACAAACGACGCTCTTACAGAATACCAGCGTAAAATAACAGCTTAAAGCTGTTGTTTTTCGTATGGTGAAAGAACCGCATACCCTTATTACTGGAAACGAGGCATTCCAACTTAGTCCTCACGGGTGACGACGCATATGCATTTTGATTCGTAATCGAGGATAGATGTAAATGTCTATGGGCCACAGCAACTATTTACCATGAGGTGGACTGTTTGCCACCATTATTCTATAAAAAAATAAATAGCTGATGGTTCAAGAACCCTATTATTAATCTTCAGAATGTGATATTGCATTTATAACCAAATATTATTTTACATGATACATAGAAGACATGTGGTGGTAATGTAAGAGATCTTCATGAAAAGAAACCTCTTACGATACCCACAGGATGATTCTACCCTGTGGGTGTCATAAGAGGTGACAAAAGGAAACTGAAACAGGAGATGGACAGCAACAATTCATCCATCCATCCTTACAGCCTTTAGTCCACTGCTGAACATAAGCGTCCCCCATCAATTGCCTCATCATTGCCATAGTTGTCACGTTCGGCAGTAGAATATCCCTTTGTCGTATCTTACAACACCAAAGGTACGATATGGGGGAGTGGGTATTCTTACATCACAATACACGGTTACGGCAGCAGCATTTCTTGCAAATAATGAAAAAATGCGGTTGCAAAACCGCCGCCAAATATGCCAACTATGGCAAAAGGGGGATTTTTGCCATAGTTGCCATATGAAACAATCTATGGGGTAGGCCTATTTTCGCAAATGATTAATAATAATATTGATGGTGATGATACAAAGGATGATTATTATAAAGTAATTATTACACTATTAGGAGAACCACTATCTGATTCACGTATTACATAGTATAATAAAAAAACAGAGGCAGTCATGAGGACTGCCGACAGAAGAGAAAACTCAATGATATAGACACGTAGTAGTCGACATCATCGGTGAAGTCAACCTATAACATTTTCCCCTACCAAAATCGCTCAATGCGGCTAAAGAAGTTTTTACTTGAAATATTTAAATCTGCTGATCTGAATAAGATGCACGGCCGATATTTTACATGTATATCTTAAAATACCTTTGTAAACATGGAATTTCAATGCCTGTGATTTCCATATCAGAAGCAAAATGCGAGATTATAGTTCGGCACGATATAGTACTAATGTTTAAACTGACACTTATTTCAATAAAATATATTGAAATTAAGTGTCTTGATTTTCCCCATAAATTATGGAAATCCTATTTTAGAACAATAAACGCGCAATTATGGATGCAAATTTGAAAATAGAAGACGCTTATTCCGACGTAATGCTGTAAAAGTCTCTGTCTACAACAATATAGAGTTTCAAACGACTTGAAAATAATTATTTCTTAAGAAAGCGGTAGAGGTAATTTCAGTCAGCGGCAAATAATATGACTGTGATTTCAATTCGCTTCACGAGCTGCTTTATTTTATTCCTTTCATTTAGAATATGTACTTATTTGTTTTCCATTTAATTAAAATTTACTTTGTAATTTAAATCATAGTTTATTTTTATTTTATAAAAGCAAATTTATAACAATATTAGATTTTGTTGCATTTAACTAGCTTTATTTCGGTAGTTAAGGTAAAAACTGTATATAAAAATGTCAATCATTTGAATTCATAAATCTTTACATTTACTTCTTATACCAAGAATAAAATGGCAAACGTTTAGCAACAATCTTTTCAACAATCAATTTATTCAACAAACGTAACAATTGAAAGGAGAATGTATGAACCGCGTGTATTACAGTGTCATGCGTTAACACACATTTATTTTTTAAATTATCTCTAACAAAGGATTCCTTGTTCACAGGTACCATGAGAGAAGCAATGGCGAAGCAATCGAAGCTGGTGATACTTCTAGCAGTGTTAGCCTTCGTCCAAGGCTCACGGGGACACGCGCGGACCTTTACGAGATGCCAGTTGTCGCGGGAACTGTTGCGATACAATTTTCCACGAAGCTTAATACCTACTTGTAAGTTTAAAAAATTATATCAGCTATAATTATACATATACTATTATAAACTTTAAAACCCACTGCTTTTATCTTACCGGCGATAGTATCAAAGATCTCGGTTGTAGTTACGGTTATTTGATTAAAGGTTGCAGCTTATATACATGCCAATACTGGGCACGAGTCTCCCTTCATTTCTGTGAGAGTTTTAGGGCAAGGAAGTGTCCGCCACGCTGCCCCAATGCGTGTTGGCAAACTTCGCATGTCTTCGACCATTTCGACACTTTTAAAATAACAGGTAAATTGCATAACTATTGGCTGTTAAGAGTTTTAAACTAGAAAAAAAACTTTTGTATAAGGTTATACAAGTAAGTTTTTAAAGCGCCAAAACATTTTATGTGATAACACAAAGAAGACCTAACAAGCATACTTCGATAGTTTAATTCTCAAAAGCATTCCCAAAGTTGGTATCATTTAATGAAACACAAAGGCCACCTAAAACAATACAAACATAGACAAATTGTACTTTGAATACAACGTCCCTATCTAAAATCGCAAAGCGTATTTCTACAGCGCTACTGCACTTATCCAACCTACATTTAATGCAAACTAACGAAGACTTGCACCAATCCCGAAGGCATTAAGGAAATGCAAACTCGGAGCAAGCCGTATAACAGTTGCATTAGCGAGCATAGCGAGTTAATCAGGCAACACGCTTTAGTTCGTCTCCTCTGAGGCGACGTATGTTACATTAAAATTATAAATACATGCTTTGTCAAGACGTAGTTATAACCGTTTGTAAATTACTCCACGCTAATATTTGATGAACTGCACTCCGTTCAGCTTCACATTAACATGTTTAAACACGGCTGATTAGTAACTCTAAATATGATAGTGAGGTGGTTACGTACCAAGTTTGTTAAATTTGCGTAAAAAGTTAAATGATTAAACGTTAAAAAAATTAGAAGACAAAGTTTATCGAAGAGTTTAGATACTATTTATTTAATTATTATGTCGAAATTGTTTTACCCTTTTACTATTTCGAAGTCTATTTATATAGTATTTATTTTATAAGTTGTTTTAGCTCGTAATTATAAGTAGTCCGAGACTTTGTTGGTCAGGCCACCTAATTACCGTGTCGCGGGCCAAATACTAATCTCTAAAGAAGGTCGTTTCATTGACGAAGATAGAGTTTCGAGTAGCCTTGAATCAATAAGAACAGTATGCGGCGATACCCTACAACATAGATTAAGTACCTAAAGACCTAATAAGCTATTAGGGCAGTGTAGGATTTTTTTACTAAGATTTTTGGCTTGGATTTTTGTCCTTTAAGCCAGGTCTGAATATCATGTGATATAATCATTTATGGTACACTGCTTCACAAAATGTTGATGCGTCACATTGAGTAGTTTTAGGGAGGTTTTGACGGCAACTTGAGCCAGCAGACAGTTGGCGATAGTATCTCAGGGCGCCTAAGCGGAGAGATACCTTATCTTGAGATTCACATCACCATTGCAGCACTCGTTTTACCGTTTCCACTAATGGTTCACATGCAGACATTAAATACATCTGTGTATTCGTACCGCTTTTACATATCAAAATCTATTTCAAGCCATTAATTTAACAATAATATACAAACAGCAATCCGCCGCCGGTGAAGCTCCCGCCAAAACTCCATCAGTGTACGATGAAACCCTACAACAAAGATTAAGTAAATTCCTACTCAGGTAGAAAAGGATGCGATTGAAAAAGGTAACTCAGAACTGTGTCTTGAAGCAATCTCTCACAGATAAAGCAGAGTAGGATCATCGATGGTCTGTAATAATAATAAAAATATCTAATTTGCACCATAGTAACTTATAGTTAACCTTTTTTATATAAGCAAAGTTACATACGAGTACACCGTCTGCCTGATGATAAATTGATGCTAACGCGCATAGACATCTACACCGACTCCCGATTGAGAATCAAAATAAAGATGACATATAACTATGTAAAAATATATGGCTTAACTATAAAAAATATAAAAGATTTTTATGGAAACAGAGCCACGTTGCAGTATATTATATGTAGCTGCAACACGAACAAGGTCGCTCCAGGACCACGCCTGCACATAATATATCTATTATTTCATTCTATGTTTAAAAGATTTGGTATATTACCCCTCCCGTTACTATAGATTTATGAAGTTGGCGTGTTTTTATTTAAATATGTCATTATTTGTTAAAGCAAGTGCTACATATCCTCTAAAACGACGTGACCTAAACTAACTTGTCCTGGATGTTATTCCTAGGCTCTTTAAATATGACAAAAGTTGCCTAAATATGTGTGTAAAAATATATAATTAAATACCTAAAGAATTAAAATTACTAAGCGAAAGACTATATAGGAAACATTTGTAATTTAATTTTTTTATAGGAGAGCAAACGAGCATGCGGCTCACCTGATGGTAAGTGACTACCGCCGCCCATGTACAACTGCAACACCAGGGGAATCGCAGATGCGTTGCCGGCCTTTCAAAAAGGAGTACGCTCTTTTCTTGAAGGTCCCTAAGTCGTATCGGTCCAGAAAAATCGCTGATGGTAATCGATTCCACAAGAAGGTCGTGCGAGGAAGAAAACATCTTCTAAATCGCACAGTGGTGGACCGCCAATCATCCAGATGGTGTGGATGGTATCGGGAGTTCTGCCGCGATGTGCGTTCGTGAAATTTGGCGGCTGGGATTAATCCGAACAATTACTCAGAGCACTCCCCATGGTAGATGCGAAAGAAAATGCAAAGGGATGCAACATCTCTTCGCAGTGCCAATGAATCGAGCCGATCGGAAAGGGCTCGGCCGTCGACGAATCGAGCAGCTCTGCGTTGGATGCGGTCAAGTGGAAGGAGCTGGCACTGGGGAGCCCTGCCCAGAGATGGGAACAGTATTCCATGTGAGGCCGAACTTGCGCCTTGTAAAGTTGCAGGCGGTGTACCGGCATGAAATACTGTCCCGCTCTGCTGAGCATGCCAAGCTTTTTAGAGGCCAATTTGGCCTTCCCTTCCAAGTGACCACGAAACTGCACGTCACTCGATATGTCGACTCCGAGGATACCGATACTGGCTGAGGCAAGAAGTGGAGTGCCTTGAAACTGAGGAGATACGACAAAGGGGATCTTTTTAGCGGTAAACGCGCAAACTTGTGTCTTCTGAGGATTAAACTGGACTAGATTTAGTCGCCCCCAATCCGAGACTTTGCTCAGCAAAGACTCGACTTCAGACACAAGTTTGTTCCGGTACTCAGCGACGTTTTCCCGAGAAATATTGGCACGGCCGGTGTATAGAGCATCACCAGTGCTATCATCCGCATAGCAATGAATGTTACCAGTTAGCAACATATCAATGATATGCAGAAGAAACAGCGTTGGTGATAGCACACAGCCTTGTGGAACACCAGCGTTAATAGGCTTGTAGTCAGAGCATGCACCGTCTACAACGACCTTGATGCTCCGATCTGCAAGGGAGCTGGTGATCCAATTGCACAATTTCTCGGGAAGCCCATAGGAAGGGAGCTTCGAAAGAAGCGCTTTGTGCCAAACCCGATCGAAGGCCTTCGCAATGTCCAGACTAACGGCCAACGCCTCCCCCTTGGACTCTACTGCCTCCGCCCATCTATGGGTCAGGTAGACTAGAAGATCACCAGCTGATCGACCCCGACGAAAACCGTATTGGCGGTCACTAATCAGCTGGTGATCCTCAAGGTACCGGATGAGCTGGCAGTTAATAATGGATTCCATTATTTTGGAGAACAAGGAGGTGATCGCGATAGGCCTATAGTTGAATGGGTCTGAGCGGTCGCCTTTTTTAGGGATCGGGTGGACAAAAGCTGTCTTCCATGAATTCGGGACTACGCCTTGGGAGTAGGAGTACCGGAAAAGACGCGTTAGGACCGGTGCCAACTCCGGAGCACACGTCCTCAGCACAATTGGGGGGATTCCGTCAGGCCCACTCGACTTCTGGATGTCCAGGGAGAGCAGTGCTTTGCGAACCGAGCGCTGTGAAAACAGCACATCCGGCATGGAGCACTCACACCGCGGGATAGTCGGCGTTGTTTTCCCCCCGTCATCAAGAGTCGAGTTGGACGCAAAAAGGGAGCCTAAAAGGTCGGCTTTGTCTTTTGCGTCATGGGCCAGTGAGTCATCCTCCCTGTGCAGAGATGGTAGTGATGGCTTACAGAAATTCCCTTGGACAGCCTTGGCGAGAGACCAGAATTCACGGGTTCCCGAAGGAAGGCGAACTAGTTTCTCGCCAATTCTGCCTATGTGCTCTGACTTTTCCTTGGCAATAACTCTTTTGAAGGACCTGGAGGCGAAGTTTTACTTCTTTTTAAGTGTGCTGGTATTTACATCCCGAGTCGCCGAAGCCGCAGCCCAGGCTTGATAACACTCCTGCTTACTGCGTAATGCAGTCTTACAGGAGCGACCAAACCAAGGCTGAGATCTGCCTCCGATGGGTACCACAGATGATGGAATAAATAGTTCCATTCCCTGTAGCACCACATCAGTGACAGAGTCAGCAACAGCGCTGGGATCGTCCGGCGAAAAGCAAACCCGCCCCCATGGGTAGGATGCAAAGAAAGACCGCATTCCGTCCCAATCCGCCGACTTGTAATGCCAAACACGGCGGCAACCTGCAGAACGCAACCGCGAAGGAAGCGTGAGTGGCACCACACTCCGGATCAGACAATGGTCCGAAGAGCCGAGAGGGGCATCGACGGAAACCTGATATCCGTCCGGATGAGAGGTCAGCAGAAGGTCCAACAGGGAAGGTGTATGATCCTCCACATCTGGAATCCGCGTAGACGAAGTAAACAGTTGTGTCAGACCATATGCCAAGGCAAAGTCATAAACAGATCTCCCCGCATGATCGGTTAGACGTGAACCGAGCCATTCGGCATGGTGGGCGTTAAAATCGCCAAGGATCACGATCTCTGCGGATGTGACCTGTTGTAGCAAGGAATCTGTAGCCATTTGGACGTGGTCGAT